AACTTATAAAAGCAGGACTTGCATTACAGCATTGAACTTATAGAAAGATGGTCAAACCTTGAATATTGAAGCCAGTGCCTCCACGATGCCAAGTAATCTGAATTGGTTGATGTCATCCTCAGTCCAAGATAGCAGAAATTCAAACGTCCAGTCAAAGAAGCTGAAAATGAACAACGAGAACTACCTCAAAGATATGTAAAGCATATAATTTATTGATTTACACGTGCTGCTTATAGCAAGATAGATAACTAAACTTTACACAAAAATCTACTTGAAATAATGATTCATTAAATGCAATCACCAAACCATATTAAGAAAAACAAATATTATTGCTGGAAGCAAATAGACAATTACAATCAAACACGATTAGAGGGCTCGGTCGATTCATTAAATGCAATCAAAATAGTTGCCTCACTAAAATCATACCAAATAATTTAACAAGAACTTTGTAGTCCTGGTGATACCAGAGTTAACCCAAACCATATTAAGAAAAACAAATATTATTACTGGAAGCAAACAGACAATTACAATCAAACACGATTAGAGGGCTCGGTATGGTAGCGGCAAGGTAGGGGAAAAATTTTTAGGTTGTGGATGAAGAGTGGCAACGATTTTAAGTGGTTGGAACAGCAGGGTAGCAAGGGTCGGCAACCCAAACAGCAGTAGTTGGTTGTTTGGGGCAGCTGGACAGCAGAAAAATAGCAAGAGGGAGGCTTTGCGGCAATGACAACAAGCTGGAATGAGGGTGAACAACTGGCCGGGTGGTTGGAATAGTAGAAATAGCTCGGATGGTTGTTTCCAGGCGACAACAACTAGCGAGCAAGCCGGCTGTTTCGGGGTGAAGGTGTGTGACTACGGGGCAGCCAAAGGAAGATAGCCAAGGGCTGCAATAGCGAGAAGGATGGTTGGATAGCAAGGAACTGCAGGAAGACAACAACGGGACTAACGTTAAGGCGGTTGCAGCAAGAAGAGAGAAGTGGTAGAGAAGTCAGAGGGATGCGGGAAGGGGTAGGGAAGATAATCGTCATCTGAAAACCAAGATACAACCAGAGCACCACTTGAAACCTTAGGATATAGCCCTCAAAGGAAAAAAAAGAAGATGGCAGCTGTCCTATTGTAAAACACACAAAACTAACCCTAAAATATCAGAAATACAAACGTATAATAAAAGGATAAAGAGTAGTCCGGTCGATTTTTATAGCTCTATATAATAATTAATAACTACTTTTAAAAAATACCTAAACTTCTAAAATTCATAGGAACTAAATTAATTTACAAAAGTTAATGAAAATTTAACCATTGACTTATTAAATAGAGTAGAAAATTATAAAAATATTAAAAAAAGACAACTTTTTTAATTAAAATAATTTCTGAATTTCGAATACCTCAAAAATTAAATTAAATCTTCAATAAATCATAACTTAATAATTATAGTGTAAAAATTCTTGGAGTTTGCACAGTAGGCTCAAGATAATATTTTTAACCAATTGATAATTTTTTATATTTTTTTAAGATTATTTTTAATTTGAGTAATTAAAGGCTATTACATTAATTAATTAAAAAAAGAGAAATGAAATTTAGTCCAAAATGGTCCTCAATTTTCTAAAATTAATCTTTCAAACTCTAAGTGAGATAAGAATATAATTTGATGAATATTCAAGGTTGACTTTCCATGGTCTAACCTCAAATAAGTGAGCATTAAATCTTAACTAATATCAACTTGAAGAACATTAGCATAATCTCCCTAGTTGTCATAATCTCTTAAAATTGGCCTTAATTTTTTTCAATTATTTTTCAGGAATTCAAATTTCCTACCCTTAACTTAAAGTTCCATAACTTTTTTTTTGGAATTTGGAGTTGATGACTTAACATTTTAAGTAACTTGAATCTAAGTGAAGTAAAATTAGAAGAATCAATTAAAAGATGGATTAATAAAGCTCAAGTAAAAATACATAATGAAGCCACTCGTAGGTATTCAGAAAAATGCAGTTTATTTCCGCAAAATAAAGTGCTCTTCCTTGCTAGGATTAGAGAGTTGTGAATAGTGAGATCGACCTAATTGGGGTGGGTCTCACCCTTCACAACGCTCTTTATAACATCAATTAATATTAAATTGATTATAACTGCACAATATTTAAGTCATTTTAACTTTAACTACCGAATTGTAATAAGTTAAATTTCAACATGAACTATAACTTTAATGTATAGGCAAAAATGACTACCTCACGTACCACACTATTAGACATCTTTGATAGCTCACAAAACTAGATATTGTTTAGGATGATCGTACTTGTGGGTACTTTTCATTTCTTTATGAGCATCGATTGCATGCTTGAATTGGATGTGGATGATTTTTGTCTTTTGTCGTTGTAGATAGACATTTAGGCTGACTAACATTTAAATAAACAGCAACATGCTAGGAAAACCTTTACCCAAGGAGCTTGACACCAATTTTGTGGTGCTATGTCCAAATGATATATGTGTGATGTACATATTTATTATGGTTTTTATGTTAATATTTTTCGGCATGTGCCATAATAAACCTAGATTTTTCCCCCTTGAGTTTAGAGTTAGGATGGTCCTCGTTGGCTGGTTGGGATGCTCGATGTGTTTGAGATGAGGCTTGTTCAAAGAAAGTGTGGACGAACCTCAATAAGGAGACTGAGCATAGACGAAACCCAATAAGGTGACAGAGTGTGGAAGAACCCCAAAAAGCTGACAGAGAGAAGACGAACCTCAACCAAATGATGGACATCAAGAACAAGGGCAAACCTCAACAGAATGACGTGGCGAGGATGAACATCAAAAGGCAAGGATAAACCCCAATAAGGCGACGGAGCTAAAGAATGATCCTCAAATTACTAAAGCATAAATCAAAAGATGCCTAGAAAGCCAAGCCACCAACAGAATTTTAGTAGGTCCATGTCGGGCTGTATGAGGGGCAGATGCTTGGCTGCCCCATTTTCTTTTCTTTTTGTTGTGTGGTGGCCCTCAACAGCCTTCTTTTTAATATTTATTTATTTGGTTTGCTTTACCTGCTTTCCTGCATGCTTGCTTGTGTGTTAGAGATATCTATTTTTTTCCCAGGTTTCTTTCTGTGTTTGAGTGCCTAGTTAGGATTGAAATACATTAAGCTCTTAGGATGAGAGATTTTTCTACCCAACTCCAACTTTAACTCAATTTTTTTTTAAAATCACAACCCATAACCAAAATTTAAACATTATAACTCATAATTTAATAAAAATATCTCGTACCAATAGACATTGCATCATCAGCTTTTAATATTAATCAACTTATATAAAATCAATCAGAAAACTTAACGATTATGATTAACAATCCGTGCGTGATAGCATCATATTGCACTTTCTTTTGTCTCTTGGGGCATTCACTCATTGCACAGAAGAAGCGATCTGACCTGTGAGGATCACCGCCCTTAAGGAGTGAATCTGTTTTTCGTACAGATTAGCCTTAACGACTCTTCTAACATGCATCATATAAGGACTTGCATAACCCTTTAACAACTTATACTTCACAATCAGAGTCTCATTTATAATAAAAAAAATTATAATTAAATGAACTTTCATCGATCGATCGTATTTCGATTGATCGTATCGTCACTTTCAATTGGCTCTGTTGAGCCGACATTATCTTTGCATAAATAAAAAAATCTAAGTTTCAAAATGACAAAATATTTGAGTGAGGAACATACATTACCTGGGTTATTCAATCTTCAGGATCGGGTCGTAAGTCTTAATGCATCTAATATATTCTAATAACAATAGCCCACCACTCTTAATTTGAGTGTGACAGGAGAGTCGAGCTAGTTTTTATTCCTCCATAGGACTGCAACTTATAAATCTCATCCTTTTTAGTTAGGTTTGAGCTTCTACCTTATTGATAAAACTCACTTTAGCATAGGTTCTGAGGTATTTTCATCGGTCTTACCACGAAATTCACTTCTCTTAGGCTTTTTGATGGCTTCCGTTGAACATAAATCCTAAGTTTCAAAAATTTATTCAACTCATACAATAATTATTGCTTTACCTTCAAAATTATAAAGCCCAATCATATGATAGATTGGTATGACCACTAGGTCTCCCAGCATTCGGTGCTACATACTTTTCTTTCGTTGGCTTTCGATATTAATTGTTTATAATTTAAGCTATCCCACTTGAATTTCCAGATACCAATGTTAATATTCATTGTTGTACTCCGCACAATTATTGCATAAATCGAGAGTTTTCTTAGGATTTATTATTTCCTAAGATGTAATTAACTAAGATGGTTTGACTCTTTAGAGATACCAGACCCCAGAACTAAAATAAGCCCTATCATTTTAGGATAGAGGAAAAACTGATTTTTGCAGCCCCACGGAGTAGTGAAACAATCACTTTGAATGGGATCCATTATATAATAGTATTCTTGTCCCTCAAGGCAATATACTATTCATTGATATCATATTCGATCACAAGTGAGAAACTTCAAAACTGTTGTGCATGATCTTCTCTCCCACACCCTTTCCACGTGCAGACAGTTTTAATGTGCTCATTAGTATCCAACATGAATAAATGATTATCCAAAGAATATTAGCATGGCATGCTCCACAAATTTTTACTGCCCAAAGTAAACTTCAAGAGGATATAAGATGATTTAAAGATGACACGAATGATTCCCACCCTACAACCAAAGTGCATGCATGTGGCATGAAACACGTAATGTCCTTGGGCTGCTTATTAACCTGAAGCACGTCACTGGCAAAGTATGATAGCTATAAAGGATTTTATACTCAACCCTAACTGTTGCATCTGAATCTATAAGACGAGTGCACAATTCTCTCCTGTTCGCATACCATATCCACCTAGTAACTGTGTCTCCTGCCTATCATGTTACACCCATTTTCTTGCAAGTCGACTTTATTGTGTTTATTAAGCTAAACTAAACCCTAAGCCTCCTTTTTTTCTCTACATTGATATATTGTAAAAAATCAACTTATAGAGTGGCCTTCTATGTATTTTCTATGATGTATAATCACAAGCTAACAAAAGATTGCCCTGCATATTAGTAACGCCACAACTTTCAGTTTTCAATACAAACCTCCCTTCTCCTTTGCAAAAAATTTCTATTTCAAACCATTAATTGATCCAGTCGACAAGACCAACTAAATGCAAAACTAACATTTGAATTTGTACATCTGGTTTAATAATGAGAAATAAAGAAACAAGCAGTCCAACATGCCATCCCTGCTTCAGTATAACAGGCATGGATACATTGTTTGAAAGGCATAGGCTGTTTAGAGAAGACAAGTAAATAAATAATCATAAGAGACTAACAAAGCTAGCGAAGTGAGTGAACATGACAAAAGGTATGCTTTGTTACATCACCAAAAAAGAACATATGCGAACAAACTCAAAATTACTTTTTTTTTTCATCTTTTTTTAAGATTTATGTGCTTAACATACATTACTTCCAAGGAAAAAGTAATCTGATCCTAAGCAAAATATACAAAGGAGCAACTGTAGCAGCTTCTACGGATGAAACTGATGAATAGCTTCATGGACTACAAGGAAACAACGTTCCAATACAACAGAAATTAGACATATAGTTATACCCCTTCATTCTCTCAAGGTTTAGAGACTATTTTCATGTTCTAATAAACTTAACGTATCCATGGGCGCCTTAGCAAAACAACTCGAAGCATATCCAAATTTCAGTTGATAAGAATTCAACCAGTGTTGTTGCGGACACTACAAGTACAATGTCTAGCTGACACATTTAGGCTTTGCAAGATTTGAAGAATAAGTTGGATGCATACAGACAACAACTCAGACCACCAAAGAGTTATGTATGTAAATACAGAAGTTTAGGTGTGAGATATGTACATACATAAGAATTGTGTGCTGTATATGTAAATTTCCAATCAAATAAAATATTAATTCAACCTTACAAAAGCCGTTGACATGTCTGGGCGGGTTAGAAACCTTGATAGCACAAGTCCTGCGAACCTCCGCATAGGACCAGAACTTGATAGGTGATCCTTGGAAATTTCAAGTATCTTGAGTACCAGTGGTGATGGTTCACCAACCCCCAATTGATTTCTGTTTGCAATGCTAGAGTCTACAGATGAGATATCAAAAGGAATCAATACAAGTATGTAAAGCCATAAGAGAGCTACACATTTTGTCTCCATTTCTCCAGTACTTTCTTGTCTTAAAGATGTAAGTGAATTTCCATTATGACAGTTCTCCAGAAGAGTGGCAGCTATCTCAAAATCAGAAACTTGATGAGGAAAGAATCGAATAATGTGCTTGTACCCACAAACGGTAACCAGTGAATATATAATAATGCATATAGGCTTTATGGTAACAAGAACTTCATAAGTACCATCCCTCAGCTGCATTGATTTAGAGTGCACTAGGGACATTAGTGGGTTTACAATGCTCTCCAAGTAAGGCTCGAGCAGCTGACCCTGCTCTTGATACTTGTCAATCTGTTAATACAGACAAAAGGTATTTCCTCAACCAATAATGAAGACAGAAATTTATCTCAAAGTAATACATGGAGTGAGCTATACATCACTAAGAAAGAACTCTTACTGTTGGTCAACTTTTAAAACAATAAAAAGATGAAATAAAAGGCCTTCCAGCTCCCCTGGAGACATATATATAGACAGCCATATTAAGAGAGAGTTTTTGGATAAACAGATTGTCTGCATGTGTATACTTGCTTCTTAGTTAGGAACAAAGTGATAACATGGCAACTTACATGTGCTCGTTATTTTTCGAGCATATAAGCACAAAACTCAATTAATGAGACTGTGTCAATGCAGTCCAATTACTTTTAGAAGACTGACTTAATGAGAAAAACATAATGAACATAAAATGGTCAATTTAAACTAAAGTCCTAATTTCACCATCTTATAAAACAATAAGACAAACTTTGCTTGAGAAATAAAGGAATTCATTTTAATGAGAAAATCACCTACTATGTTTTAATTATGAGAAACTTAAAGCGCTCAATTATTAGATATACTAAAAACTATATTTTCATCATAATACCAGAAGTTGATTTTAGAATAATGAATGATTAAACAATCGCCTATTTAAGGAACACAATTTCCAATAACCATATACACATTTCACCAAGTGCAAATCTTTAAAATGAAAGGAATCGCTACCGTAATACATGCAAATATTTTGCATTCTTTATATTCCCTTATAGACCTTGTTCATGATTATTAACAAGAGAATAAAAATCAGTTTCGTCGCATATTAATCTCTTTATTTCTTTGATACTCAAATCATAGTATTAGAACCTAAGTGAATCTATCACCGATCATTTTTTTAGATTGACGCTGCTCCGGTAGATCCATCATATCTATTTACGCCAACCTTTTATGTCACTCGCTAGTAGATGATCGTTGATTTCATAATCTACTGTTTCATCTCTACTAGAACTATTTAGGACAATCTCCATTGATGGTATTGAGATCACCCGGCCTAATCTCTTTAATTATAACTACATCATCAGCCACGAAATCAAGAGCTTCGTCGCACTGCTCTCACAGGCCTACCGTACATAAGAATTCTCCAATTAAGTTCTCTCCAACTTTAGCAGCCAAATGACTTTCATACACACAGTCCTTGCATGTTTCATCTCATTAGGGTACCCAAGCCTCACGTCAGAGATGCTCTGTTCCCAATGTCACCCACTCGCTCATCTCCTCTTCTCCAAACCACTTGACCGACCTCATATACCCTAACCACAGTGACTAGAATTGTTAAGGCTGAGTTCTAATGGAAGTAGTTTCTCAAGTATCAAAACGACAATACTAGGAATTGAGGTCCATCTTCATAAGAAAGTTTGACTTTTTTTCCAAACACACATGCAACAAAGATCATGCCCACTATGATACAATCAACCTCCTTGTTCATCACCTCCTGAAAGCTTTTGAGGTTTGTCCATCAGTCGCTTCTTCCTATTCCAATTGTACTATTGCTAACACTCACTAACATGGAAATGGGAGCTTCCCGCACATTTTTGCCACACCTGCACATTTTTGCGACCCCTGCTACAGTACCACGAACTGTAGCAGGAGTCGGGGCTGGAACAAGTCTAGAAAGGTGAGTCAGGTGAGTCCACCCTTCCTTCCCGTTTATTTCCATCGACAAGTCTAGAAAGGTGAGTCCACCCTTCCTTCCCGTTTATTTCCATCCTACATGGAGTGGGGTCCACTCCTATTTACCCTAAATTCATAAATGTGTTGTTTTTATGTTTTAGGGTAACTTTTTCTTTGTGTTATGTCAGGAAAGCCATCGGTGTCCAGGTATTCCCCTCTAAGGTTGTATCTGAAAGCGAGCGATGCTCCGGTTGTATCTCATTTTGAGTTAGTGACTCTCCTCCAAGGGTCGAGTGGAGCTCCAGTAGTTTCTCGCTCCCGAGGTGGTGTTTATTCTAATCCAATTCCTCTGCATCCCTCCCACTTCACTACAACGCATTCCACCTTGTTGCAACCATCCAGATTGCCACCTCCCGACAGTCTTTCTTCATTTCTTGTTATCCCGTAGGGGTGTAAACGAGCCGAACACGAGCGAGTTCAGACTCAGCTTGCTAAAAAATATCATTGTTCATATTCAGCTCGTTTATATTTCGAAAAGAAAACTGTGTTTGTACTCGTCTCGTTTACTTAGCAAGCCGAACTTGATACGTTAGATGTAAACGAGCCGAACACGAGCGAGTTCAGGCTCAGCTTGCTAAAAAATATCATTGTTCATATTTATATTTCGAAAAGAAAACTGTGTTTGTACTCATCTCGTTTACTTAGCAAGCCGAACTTGATACGTTAGCGAACAAAAAGTCGTTTTGACAACCCTAGTCACACAGCCGTAAAATATTAAGGGTTGGGGCAAAATTTAAATTTTATTATTTATATGAAAATATCATTTAAATATAATTTAATGTTTTTAATTAATACTTTTAATTGATTATAAATCTTGTAGCCTTATAGTCAATTTAATTTTTTTTTAAAGTACTACACATCAACATATATATATATATATATAGCAAAAGCCCAAAGGCTAATATATTAAAGAGAAAAAAATACAGATGGGTTGAATGAGAGGGCCTAAAAGAAGACCCAACTCACACAATATAACGCACAGAACTCCAAATAAAGCAAAGATGCAAAAGGATAAAAAACCAAAAAGCCACCAACGATCGCAAAAGTACTAGAGACGTCTCACTTTATTCCTTCATCTGCCTCTAGTTTTCGGAAAGGACCCAGCTAACAGATTGGTAAGATGCGTACCATTACCCGAAGTAACCAAAGTATCGTTCATCAGATTCCTAAGCTCAAGTAGTTTTTCATTCTTCTTCTTCTTTCTGGATGTGTAGACTTGTCATTCCTCATCCGAGGATTGACTCATCTGATCAATAGATTGGATTGTTTCAAAGGTGGTCGGACAGGTGTGTAGGCTGTTGCACATCATGATCCCCATGAGGCTGAGTAACATTAACATTTTGCTCGACCTGATGAGGCGGTGGGGGAGGAGGTCATATAGATAGAAATATTCTCACATGTAATATCAGTGATAGGTTTTAGAGCAGGTGGGGTCTGAAGAATCTCCCTCGTCCCCATGATTGGAGGTTCCAATCAAAGATGGGGGAGCAACGACATTGTGTGAAGACTGAATGGTTGACATATTGTCTGCGATGATAGTGATATCTTCAGATAGTGACATCTTCAAGAGTATCATTTTGATGATTAATAATGTCAATAACTTGGGGCTGAACATGGGAGTTGGATTCTCTGCCACCGGCGAAGCGCTTTGCTTTTTTGGTCTGAGTTGGGGGTATAGATGGTGGCATTGCTGAACATGAGGAGTTGGATTCTCTGCCACCGACGAAGCGCTTTGCTTTTTTGGTCTGAGTTGGGGGTATGGATAGTGGCATTGAGAACTAGAGTGACAGTTCGAACAATAAGAATGAAAAAACTCAATCACTACCTTTTGTCAATATTCATGGTGTTGTGTGTCCAACCAAATCTCCTCAGATGCGGATAAAGTGACGTCTCTTTCAACAAATACTCTGGCTTCAAATGGACGGGAAATATTAAAAGTAAGAATGTCTGTTTTAAGTGGTTTACCATAAGCTGAGATAATAGAGTACAACACTTTTTGAGTGAAATAATGAAATTTCAAACCAGGGAGACGAATCCAAACCGAAATGATTGGTGGTTCCATCTGTGGGTCAAAATCCACAGACCATTTCAGAATTTTCATTGTCCTGTTATCAATCTAGATAATCCTTCTAACAAATAAACATGTGTAATCTTCTTCATTATTAAGTTGAATAAGAGTGAATCTTCTTCATTATTAAGTTAAATAAGAGTGTCTTCCATCTAAAAGTCTAATTTTTCACTCCCCAACAAGGTGCATAAGCTCAAATTGTTTACGAATCAGCTCCATTTTGAGATGACTATACAAAAACTTTCCGATCAAATTCAGACGATAGGAGGAAGCAAGTTGAATACCTTTTCAGCTTCTGTAAAAAAAGATGGCAGGTTTCTCATTCTTCCTACCGGGTTTTTTGATGTCCTCCTCCCACTCAAACGAATGAGGAAAAGAGCAGGATTTAGGTGTACCTGAGGCTTGGGCACCCACAATGGCGGCAACATACGATCTGTCTGAAGTCATCCCAAATGATGGAAGTGCAAAAAGTAAATTACGAAACCAAACAGGGAACAAGGAGCAGAGGAAAGCTCCTGGAGGAAAGCTCCTCTATGTGTTGTGCTGCAGACGGAAAGAACCAGATAGCGACAGCTAAGAGACGCCCTGAGCGTGACTTCTCGGGATGATAACGAGCCGCAAAAGCCCGCAGCAAGTGAGAGCCGCAGCGAACCTCAAGAGCCACAGTGAGTGAGAGTCGCTGTATCGGGAGGACGAAACCCGACGCCCCCGAGCCAGACGACCTGTTGAGAGAGTCGAAGTGGGACAACGAAACAGAGCCGCTGTAGAAAGACTGGCGACGAAGACGAGACAGTTCGACGAAAATGCAATGAATCAGAAAAACGAGGGATCGCCATAGGCGAACCCTAGCAGAGCGAGGAGGTTGTGTGAGAGAGAGAGAGAGTGTGCAAGCCCCGACAAATTGGTGGCGGCTTTGGCATAAAACCCTCGGGTTTGGGGTTCGAATCCCAGCCCTTACAAGCAGATTCAAATTCGCACATGAGTTGGAAGGGGAGTCCGCCCGTCGGTGAGTTTTTAATATATATATATA